TATATACCATATACAACAGTCCGAAGGTATTTTTATATAATATTTTCATTGTACCTACATTTTGACTCTGAAGTCAAATAATGTAATCCTCCACATGTAGGGTCATGTTCACAGTTTTAAAGCTTGGGATTTAGGAACATTTCAGATTAGGTATGTTCAGCCTGTGTGAACACTAGTTATTTTTTTTATTTTACTTTTGTTTTTCTTTAAATATTTATTATTTTTATTTTATGTGTATGACTATATTGCTTGCATGTACGTGAGTGTACCTGTGTTGTACAGTGCCCATGGCAGTCAGAAGAGGGCGTTGGAGTCCCCTGGAACTAGAGTTAAGGAGTTAAGGCAGTTGTTAGCTGTCATGTGGGTGCTGGGACCTGAACCTAGATCCTCTGCAAGAGCAGCCAGTGCTCTGAACCTCTGAGCCGTCTCTCTAGCCTCACTTCAGTTATTCTTTACTTCTCTCTTTTTCTTGATCACTTCTGAAGATCCTTTAAAATGACAGCTGTGGCTTGGTTGAGTATATTATGTTTTGTAGTTCATTAGGCCTTTTGCTTTTCTAAGGTCTATTTGAAGATATATTTCATCATTTTAACATGTCAATATGTGGTTTTTTTCATTATGATTTAATGGGAATTATTTTTTTTATTTAAATTTTTTCTTTAGGCAATACATTGTTAAAAGAGTTTGTATATATTTGAATGTTTTGCCTGAATGTATGGAAGTGCACCCATACATTCATACATGTCATATAATGCCTGTGGAGGTCAGAAGACTGCGCCATATCCCCTGGAACTGGAGTTATAGATGGTTGTTAGCAGCCATATGGGTGCTGAGAACTGAACCTGGGTTCTCTGCAAGAGCAGCCAGTGCTCTTAACTGCTGAGCAATCACTCTAGTCCCTAGAAGAGTTTTCTTGAACTTCCAAATACATGGACATTTCATAGTCTTTTTGTTATTCACTTCTAAGTTAATTATACTCTAATGATATCAAATCTTTTATTGACAGATGTCAGGCAGATACAACCTTACTGAGCAGATATACATAGTTAAAAATCCAAATTGAGTAATAAAACCCACAAAGCCATACAGCTTCGTCTTTTTCTTTGTTTATTATTTTTATGTTTATGAATATATTGCCTGCATGTGTATAAGGACACCTGTGTTGTGCAATGCCTGTGGAGGTCAAGAGAGGGTGTTGGAGTCCCCTGGAACTGGAGTTATGGATGGTTATTTTCACCATGTGGGTGCTGGGAATTGAACCTGGGTCCTCTGCAAGAGTAGCCAGTGGTTTTAACTGCTGGGCCATGTCTCTAGCCCCAAGCTTCCTTTTTTCACTTATCAATACCTCCTGGCATCTCTCTATATGAACAACTGTAACTCTCCCTTATCATACTATTTGGATTTGCTTCAATTTTTATTAAAATAAGGCAGATTAACAGTATTGTGCCTATGCCTTTACAAGCAGTACATGAATAAATACATAATTAGACTGAAAGAGATTTCACTTTTCACTGATATTACCAAGAGTTTGTACAAGTTTATAGTTCTAAAAACAAGTAAAAATTTTAGCAACAGTGAGTACTATACAGTGAACATTTAATAGGACAGTACATAAGCAAGATCAAGTCTGTTATAAGTGCATGTCTTTAACGGACATTTTTACAATTTAATTTTTTAAAGATTTATTGTGTGTGTGTGTGTGTGTGTGTGTGTGTGTGTGTATGTGTGTACATGCACACATGCCCTGGAGTTACAGGCAGTTGAAAGCTGCCCAACATGGGTGCTAGGAGCTGAACTTGGGTCCTCTGGAAGAGCAGCTGCTGAGCCATCCTTCCAGTCCCCAATTTTGAATTTTTGGCAATCTAAAAATATTATTAACAGTTATATACTATTTCTTTTAAGTTTCTTAATAGAACTTTTTTTATAAACAAAAGGCTTAATCTCTATCCTTAAGTTTATTGTAGAAATTCATTTATATAACTGTAAGAAGTAGATTTTGTCCTATTTCACAAATAGTTTATATATTGGGAATTATCATTTTTATGGTCCTGATGTTTTAAAAATGCATCAAGTCACTTAATCTCATGTAGAATTTTCCCAAATAGATTGGTTGGGTCACTGAGCCACTGAGGTGGCCCTGCTTTGCTCCATCAGTCACAGAGGCCTCTGCAAATTAGGGCTTTCAGATTTGAAATGATTTTTTCACACATTAGGGAACTACTTTTTAAAATTTTTATTTGTTGTTTTTATTTTATGAGTACATTACCTGCATGTATGTAAGTGTACCCATGTTGTGCAGTGTCTGTGGAGGTCAGAAGAAGGTATCAGATTCCCCTGGAACTGGAGTTATGGATGGTTGTTAGCTACCACATGGGGGCTGAGAACCGAACTCGGGTCCTCTTGAAGAACAGCAGGTGCCCTTAACCACTGAGCCATCTCTCCAGGCCCACATATAGAAATATTAAGAGAATGATGAGAGACTCCAAGAAAGGTAATTACAACAGGTTCAATGGGAGTTGGGAGGTTAAATGGGAGAGACTGACGTCAGAAATAATCTATGCTCATCAGTACTACCAAAAGAGTTGAGATAATTTATGAATTTTATTTCTAACTATATCAACATATAATAGAATGAATGTTATACCTAGCCTTGACTCCCCCCTTGAACTCTCAAGCATGCATTTAACAGTGATCTTTTCACTGACTCTATAGAAACACTTCAAAATTAATCTGATCACATAATTTTTGACTTTCTCTCCGAAACCAGCCCCTTCTAGACCTTCTGTTTGCTGAGGCCAAGCATCTTAACATCTGGGAATTATCCATGACTCCTCTCTTGCTTATTCTTACATCAACTTCCAATTATCCTAACCACACATAAGTAACTATTTATTTCACCCCCAAGGCCACTTCAGAGTCCAACTCAGCTGGGCTTCTTCAGCTGGGTAAGGGGCCTCTGTTTGGCTCTTATTCCCCAACAATCCTTCTGGTAGTAGTCAAAGTGAACTTTAAAACATGTCAAACAGCTCATTTTACTCTATTGCTTAAAATCCTCTAATGCCCTTACCTCTATATTTAAAAACATTCACGGTCCTAGCCATAGCTGAAAACCCACCACAGTCCTGCTCCTGGCACCAACACCCCTTCTGATGATGCTCATCCCATTCCAGCCCATCAGCCTTCTTCTGGTGCTTCTGGATCATGCTGTGATGGTACTGCTGTTGACTTTCCCCTTCCTTGTCAAATCATCTGACTGAACTGCTCTCCCTTAACAGTCCTGTGGATTACTCTTTAATGCCATTTAGACCTCTGTCCTCAGAAGAACCTGTCCCAGCCTGACTTAAGAGAGCTTCTCACTGACCATTCTTTACCTCCTTATCCTGTCTGATTTTCCTATGGAACTTATCACTTAAAAAAATTATATATGGAGCTGGGTAAGGTGACACACATCTTAAATCCCAGCACTCAGGAGGCATAGACAGGTGGATCTCTGTGAGATCTAGGCCAGCCTGGTCTACATAGTGAGTTTCAGACCAGCTGGGGCTATAGGGAAACAGAAAACCACAAAAGAATTATATATGTGTCTGATTTTCCTATGGAACTTATCACTTAAAAAAATTATATATGGAGCTGGGTAAGGTGACACACATCTTAAATCCCAGCACTCAGGAGGCATAGACAGGTGGATCTCTGTGAGATCTAGGCCAGCCTGGTCTACATAGTGAGTTCCAGACCAGCTGGGGCTATAGGGAAACAGAAAACCACAAAAGAATTATATACAGATTTGTTTAATTTTTTGTCCCCCTTGCTAACATGCAAGCTTTGAGAGGACAGAGGCTTTTGACTTCTTTATTCCTTTACACAGTGTCTCCCTCCTTAGCACCCTATCCTGCACACTATGCTGTCTAGCATACTCTGTATTTCTGTGTCTGTTATTAATGGTTATTCTCAGAATTCTATAAGTTACCCAGGATCAGGACATTTATTTATCCTTAGAATCAAGAATAGAGTTTGTATAGTATTGATACTTAATAAATATTTGTTAAATTGATGTGTGCTATGTTTAACTTAGTGACCTTACCTTGATTGCTTTTTGAATATTAATGCATGACTCTCTTATAGTTATCAGCAGCTTATTGAAGCGTCCCATCTCTTGGACAAGCACGGTGTTCATGCTCTGAGTGTAAGTTGTTGGGTATCTCCTCATTGCAGCCTCCACATCAAAGTTGTTTGGAAGTTTCCCCAGGATGTCACCAGTGACGTCATTTACTACTTCATCTGATGACTTTGTACCAGAACCTGATGAGCGAGACTGAAGAATCCAGACTATTACTCAAATACCCCCATAAAGGTCAAAGAGTAGCTGAAAAGGAAAAACTGTGGGACAAATCTTTGTAAGAATGAACAGTGATCTGCTCTTTCACCCATGATCCTTCACCACACAAGATTTATTAAGAAACTAAGATCCAGAGGGGATGAAGTTTTGAGAGAAAACAGTTGTAAAAGAGGAGGAGGAACAGGATTTGAAGGATGCAAACGCACTATGCCTCTTGCCTGGCAGAGGAGGAAAAAGGCACTGCAGGTCCAGGCAGCACGAGCACTGCACGTCCAAACGATGATGGACATTAAACCCCAGAAGATGGAAATCTGATCATGCCTTGAGAAAACTTGCCACAAAATATATTTGCTAATAACTCTGATGCCTAATAACTCTGATGTGCACGGGCTGCCAGAAGCAGAGATACGGTTTTCTCCTTGAACCTCTAGGTCGAAGAAAATAAGCTCATCTCTTCCAAGCAGCTGGAAGAGTTATGGAGAGAAGCCAGACAGTAGTGATTCACGTTAGACGCAAGGAAGGTGGGTTCCAATGCAATTTTTGTTTCATATGTTTATAGTGGCATCTCATAAATGAATCTATATTTCCTGGAAAGGCTCTTAAAATTTTCAGAACAAATATACATATGTGGAAGGGGGGGGAGAATAATCACTATCGAAATATAGATGAATATCTCATATTTCTCCAGTCTAAGAAAATTGCTTAGTCTTCTTTCAGATTTTACATTTCCTGGTTTCTATAACAAAATTAAATATTCTATAAATGTATTCGGTAAACACTTAGATTTCTACCTACCTACCACAAACTACCATAAGATCCTATTAGGTCAGACAGTAAAATAATAAATGCAGGTAAGTTTTAATTATAGGATAGTAAAATAAAAGAGTTATACCCATATAATTATTCTTTCTTACAGTCCTAAAATATTTAGTTTACAATGAATATTTAAAATGAATAACAGAGGGAAGATATATTGAATATTGGGCCCAATTTAATGAAATATCTAATTAAAAGTGCATTTGTAGAATAATTTGTATTTTGTATTATTTTGGCTTTGACCTTTTTTTTTTTTTTTTTTGATATAGGGTCTCCCTGTAGCTCCATCTGTTCTGGAACTAACTATGTAGACCAGGCTGGCCCCAATCTCACAGAGGTCCGTCTTCCTCTGTCTCCAGAGTGCTGGGATTAAAGGTGTGTGCCACCATACCTGGCTTGCATTTTGTTTTTTGAAGTAGACATGGAGTAGTGCAAACTCATTTAAAATCTATTTTCTAGCTAGCTTTGTACCCTTGTCCTAAAAAAAATCCACAAAAACAACACACAGAAGAACCCAGGCCTATAATCACCCCAAAATGTACGAAGACTATCTCAGCAACACAGATGTCCTTACTTCTTTCTCAACACCACAATCACATAGTTGGATGGTGGGTTCTGGAAAGTCATGTTCAACTGATAGTGAGCATTGAGTGCTACAAGGTGCTGCTTATTTGTAATTGTTTAGCTTAGTTTTTCCTTTTAAGGAAAAGGAAGGAAATTCCCTTCTTTAGCGTTTTCACAATTGCCCTTCCTCAGTCTGCTAAAGATTACTTTCCTGCCCACACCTCATGTTGGCAATTGAGCCTAGAACCTTATATATGGGCAACCGCTCTATCACTAAGCAATACCAAGAGTCCCCCTTTTTTCTTTTAACTATTTATTTTGAAACAATAGAGGGGCTGGAGAGATGGCCCAGCAGTTAAGAGTGTTTCCTGCCCTTGCAGAGGAACTGAGTTCATTCCCAGCCCCCCAGGGGGGTAGGCTCACAACCACCTGTACCTCTGCCCCCCAGGGGGGTAGGCTCACAACCACCTGTCTGGTACCTTCTTCTGGTCTCCACCAGCACTGAGACACACATGCGCATCCGCGCACACACACACACACACACACACACACACAAATAATAATTTTTAAAAGTCTCACTAAGCTTCCCAGCAGGCCTTACTCCCACCTCTGCCTCCAAAGTAGTAGCATTACAGCCTCATTGGGCTGTGTTTCTTTTATTAAATAGAGATAAGTAGGGTTTATTTTTAAGGAGACCTTTAGGAATTTAGCCTCTTCAAAGAGCCTACAATATATTGGTTCTATAATATTTTCCTGTTTAAACGAGTATTACCATTAAGCAAAAAATTAAAAAAAAATCACTACAAAAATTACACTCTCAACTCTGATCTCTCCCTCTTCCATTTTTTTGAGATGTTTTACATAAGCACATTAATGCAAAACTCTTGTCATTAACTTGCTCACCAAGCTTTGCAGCTCTGGTCTTTTTGCTTACTCTACTAGTCGAACGCACCAATCTGAGTCCAAGGGTATTGAAATAAGTTGTTTAGTCACATACTGAGAAGACAGCCCTGGTGTATTTAAGCATATTTGGTTCTGAGTCATTCTGTTGTAATGAGCCCACTGTTTTCTGGGTTCTACGATGTGACACACATCATCAAGTTTAAATAAAGCCAAAAGACACTGTATACATCTTGTTGTCAGATAAGGTACATGACATGCACCTAGTGTCCCTGGGGATTGACTCATTCATGTTTTTTCATGACCTTTTGTGCCTATGCTGGCAATAGTAAGCTTTCATATGAGCAATGTGTGAAATGGACATAAAATATTCTTTATCATTTTTGTTTTATTAGAAAATGTCATTGTAGAGAAGACTAGAAATGGGGGCTTCATGGATTCTTTCATCTAAAACAACATATCCCAGAGTCTTCCTGCCTTTCTAGCATCTTAGGTCTTACCCATTCTTAGAGCCTGGAAGGAAAACTACAAGACAGCAGCTCAGAGCACAGGTTTTAAAGCCAAACCAGTGAGCCAGACTTTGAGTTCTAGCCTGAAACTAGACTTTCCAACTTTGGCCAATACTTAATCTTGTTGTGCCTCAGTTTCCTACCTGTAAAGTGGGAATAATAATGGCCCCTAGCTCATTGGATTGCCATAAGTACTATGTTGTTACATACAGAGCTCTTAGAGTAGTGCTGGGACAGGGAAAGTGCTGTATAAACATTAGCTATAGCCATTTTCACTATGAGATTGCATAAACATGCCTGAATTCAGATAGTTGGATAATTTGATTAACTAAACATGCAGGCATCCTTAGTTCATTAAAATTTCATTTAATTCCATAGGAACTCTTGGTACTTGGATTAATTTGCTTCCAAAAAATAAAAATAAAACCAAGCAAAATTTATCCTCTAAAGAGAGAACAATATGAGACAACATCTCTTGCTAGATTCACAGGGTTAACAACTGTTTTCTATTCAAATATGCAGACTCGTGCCCACAGAGTTTAAGATTTGCCCTTCAACTTGCCTGGGCACTTAGGCTCTGATCAGCAGGATTGCGTGCTTTCCAGTGCCTTCCACCAATGAGTGGTGTATTTACATTTATTTTGTAATACTGAAGTTATATATTCTAATCATTATGTAGCCTAGTAAAATAATGTGAAAGAACTTTTTAAATATAAACTAGGTAAATGTTCTGGAATATTTTATAAAGACAAATCATTAAAGAACAATTGCTGTTGAATTAGTAGGACATTGAAAATAAAATAGGTAAAATTCTACATGGAGCCTATCCTCAAACAGTTTCCTAAGTATCTGTAAAATTATTTTTCTCCACTTAAAGAAATTAAAAGGAACATAATGTATGGTGTTTTGGAGCAAGGCTTAAGTGAGAAAAGCCAAATGGAATTTCCAGAAGCATTTAAAAGCTCCAGCACTTGGCAGAGTTTTCTGGGGGAACCTCTGCTGGCTCATAGGGGTGGGGGGACACATTAGTCCTGACTCAGGTTGAGGAGTGGCTCCTGCCCAGAACACACACCTGGGTAAGAAGAATGTTGTCGAACAGCAGCTGCGTTTCTGACTGATCTTTAGTGATGTCTGCATTGGCGTTCATCCCAAAGATCTCTGGTGCTGGGGTCAGTGGCAGGGTCTTTGTGTAATCAATGTAGCTTTTGTGCTGCAAAGATGAATAACAAGAAGTGAGGAGCCCAGACATCAATTATAAGGTATAATTTGGCCCAGGAGCCATGCTTTTCAGTGTCCAAGTCATGAAGTGTCTGAGCCTGGAAAACGACACTCTAGATGCTTCACTTTTCTTGCAGCTGGGCCAAGGTTTAAGCAACATTATGTGGAAATTTTGAGGGAAAAAGAAATGTGACCTTCAACTAGAATATTTATTTATTTATTTATTTTTATTTATTTATTTATAATGAAGAATGAGAATTCTGGTAATTTCATTTAAAAATGTGTCCTAGTGATCACAACAGGAGATAGAAACTGGTCAGGTCCGGCAGGGACGCCAAGGCAGAAGTTTAGATACTGACTGTCCTTGCTGGAGGCCTGGAATGTCAGAAGAAAGTTCTGCTTCCTGTTTCCTGGTCACCTCTTTTCCTAAATGAACCACCTCTGCTCCTGGACACTTGTGTTTGGACCAACTGGACTGACCAGTTCAGCCCTCTGCCCAGGCCTCGCCCACCTTCTGCAAAGAACCCTGTAAAATACTCAAGACTAGCAACTAGATGCTGCCCTAGTCCCTGGATGTCCCTCGCCTCTGCTCTACAGGAGCTCTCCCTCCTTTTTAAGCTCCCACATATGAATCTACAATAAACTTCTCTTTAAAACTCACCCTCTGTAGTCCATGAATTTCATTCTCCAAATTTGTGAGACAAGAAGCCCAAAGCCACCCACTGGCTAGAGGTAGCTTTGCTTGGACCCTAACACCCTTGAGCCATGGTTCACCAAGAGCTGAGAGAGGCCCATGTAGCTCTCAAAGACACCGCCATATTTCTAGATCACTGGAGAATAGTCACATTTTTCTGGTGACTATTTCTGATGAACAAATATATCTATATTCTCTCTCTGTCTCTCTCTGTCTCCATATATATATATTTGAAACAGGGCCTCATTATGTAGCCTAGGCTGGCCTTGCTGAGGATTATTCTTAATTTATAAATAAAAATAATCTCTGATTTATTTTATTTCATTAACTCTTTTTTTTTTTTTTTTGAGACAAGGTCTCCCTGTAGCCCCAGCTGACATGGAACTCCCTATGTAGACCAGGCTGGCCTTGATCTCACAAAAATGAGTGCTGGGATTAAAGGCACATACCATCACACCCAGCTCTAGCTTACACTTATTGTGAAAAGTCTGCCTAAATTCAGAAATAAGTTATTTAAATTTTATTATCCTGAGAAAACCACCATTAATATTACACACCTTCTTATTCATATATGCACATATAAAAATTCACACTTTTTTAAAATCCACAAACTACACAAATTTTATTCACAACTTATGGGAAGGAGAAAGATGAAAAGTTTATTTTTAAGCCACACAAGAAGATGAAAGTCTTTGCTTGTTCAAGGAGAACTTCAAAGAGGAGAAAAGAGCAAAACATACATGAGGGGTCTGGATGTTGCCCTCTGATGGGGAAAGCGACTGGAACTCCAAGATAGGCTTAGCCTCCTTCTCACCTGTACCCAGGAATACTGCAAGACTTAGAGGAAAGCTGTATGCGTCCTGGCTAGAAGCTGCAAGAAACACCCAGAAAGTGGGCCCAAGCAAAAGCCCTCAACAAGGAGAGTGACAGGAGTTGCTATGGACCCTGAAAGAAGGATGGAGATGGTTCCCCAGGCAGTGGACATGACAGAATCTGACCTCCAAACCTAGGGAGGAGGTCCCAGAGTAGCCCACATTGAATCACTGGAGTCCTTGGGAGGACTATGACCATTTCTGTTCACACATCAAACTGTGAACCCAGAGGCCTGGGGGAATAAGTTATAGCTGAGAAACTACCAGGCATGAACTAGAGATAACCCAGGACCTAGTGTCATCTTCCCCTGACATGGATGATAGGTAAACTTCCTTCATTGTAGAGCCTCTATCATCTCCTAGACAGAAGGGAAGAAATTGTGAGTACGACTATGGTCTGCTTGAGAAGACAGCTGTTATCCACTTAGTTGCAAGTCCTCAGTGTCTGAGTTACACTTAAACCAGAACATTAGTTTTGTCACTTTGGGAATAGGAGTTTGAAGCTGAGAACTCTCTTGCATTTCAGCAACAAAATGTTAGGGATAGGAGTGTAAACAGTTCAGGTGGAAAGGAAAAGCAATTAACCTCAACAATCCAAATTGACCTTTTTTTGTCAATGAGGGGTGATTATTGACCAGTGGGAGGCATCTGCAGTGGCCACACTAGCAGAACAGCAGAGTACCTTAAGTATCTTTGTATATGTAAATAGTCATAGGAGTTGGGTAAAGGATTTAGGACTCACATCCTCTACCCCCATAAGGATTTGTTTGCAGAATAGGACCTGTTTGTGGAGCAGAAACTGCTTTATGGTTGAGGGTTATGGTGGTCTCAGAGGGACTTATTTGTAGAGCAAGAATTGCTTTATGATAGGAGTGTTTTTATGGGGGAGTCTCCCTTTAATCATTATGAAATGGAAAATGGGGACCTAAAATCTAGTTTCATTATAGAGAAGTGGAGAAAATTTAAATGTTACCCATCTGCAGTCTGTGTGAAAGGTGCATACAGTATTTGTTCACAATGGACATTCCTAATGTGGAAAGTGCTCTTGTCCGCAGCATCAAGCAAGTTTCTCAATGGCAAAATTCCCACTTTCACTTTTTATGTAGTCACCTGCAAACACTCACGAACACACAACAAGGGAGGTTTCATCCTCAGTGGATTTATGATGTGAGTCATGCCACATACATCTTCACCTTGCTTTTTTAACCCCTGACAATACACTATTGGTGGTCTTGTTACCCCAACTCCCCACGTTGACTAGGTCCACTCAATGATTGAGTTAAGCTCTGAGACTGACTTTTCATTTAATCAGTATCCACCCTCAGCTGGCATCAGTTCCAGTGGATGATGGGGCTGAGGTTAGCAAGCTATTATCTGTGTCTCTGTAACATGGCCATGGGTTCAACCTCAGACCTGTCATCTGACTTCTGCAAATCAAATGAGAAACAACTGGTTTGTTCCAGAAGTCCTTAGAAACCTATTGTGTGCTAATCTGATGGCCATAAATGGGGCTGGAAGGGACAGCAGAGACAACCTGGCCTTGTGCCACAAGAGGTTCCCACTCTCTGCCCAATCTTCTATTTGTGAGGCTTTGGAGAAGTCAATCAATCTTAGTGAATATGCTTCTTCATTTTTAAAGGGATAAAAGAATAATGTCAATGTTAATTTGATGCTGTATCGGCGGGTCCCACGCACCGCGTTGCTGTTCGGGTCCCTGGCTCTCCGCGACTACTGGATGCTGGTGACTCAGGGGGTCGCTGCGCTTCCAGGCGAGTTTCGTTCCAAGCTACCGGCCACTCCCTCTATGTTCACGATCGTCGGCCACCGGATCACGAGGGGAGGTGCAAGAAGGGCGAAAGCAAGATCTTCACGAGTGAATGTTTATAAAGGGACAGCCCCCTCCAGGGAGATTGTATCACAGGCTGGTTCCAGACGCAGGATTCAGTGATACAGCTTCAGACAGACTCAGTGGTACAACTCCGTGATACAGCTCCTTTATTCAGTGATTCTGCTCAGCTCCAGATCTTAGTGATTCAGCTCCGCTCCAGGTCTTAGTGATTCAGCTCCGATTTATTAGGGGTAAACCAGGATATTTATAGTGTGGAGGCAATAGCAAAAGCCTTAGTTGATAGGTGCTTTGTAGGATGCCCCATTTACATGTGGTGGTGGGCTTCTGTCAGGCTGTCAGACATTGCCTGATTATCACACAGGAAAACCTGGCAGTTTCGTGCCGGAGGATATGTATCTGTGACAGGCACTTCAAAAGGTGAGTCAGGAAGAGAGCAGGAAGGTGCCCCGCTGAGAAAGGGAGTCTCTGCATTCGTGCCGAGCCCGCCTGCGGCTATCCGGACATGAAGAGACTGCTACCTTAGACAGCAGGGGTCCCCAACAATGCTGTAGTGAGATAATTCCTAGAATTAACTATTAAATAATTGTGATATAAATGCTATATTTTGCTGTTAATGGTATTTTTATGACCCCCCCCCTCCAACATGTGTTTATTCATTTTAATTGCATCAAGATTTTTTTGCCCAAAAGATGAGGTTCATGGTGATAGAATTCAGGACACTAAGGAGGCCATTCTCACATTATAATAAACAGGAAAACCCAGAACTGTATCTGTGTGTGGTGTGTGCTCTGTTCCTATATAACTGGGGAAATCATAGACCAGTATTAACAACAACAAAAATAAAAAGACCTACTGGGAAATTACCATTTAAAATATATATCATCACTACCCAAGGACTTTCATGTTTCCCTACCTTTAAGTTACTTGAAGGCATACTTACATCGCCAGAAGGAGGGACAAAATAGATGCCACTTGAGTCAAATTTGTAGTCTGGATTTTCAACTAATTCTGTGCAGAAGAATTTGTTCAGAATGCTGCGCAGTGTGCGCCGGTCCCAGTCGTCAGTCACCCGGCCTCCATAATTGCATTCCCCAGTCATGTACCGCAGAGCATCGTAAGGGAGTTCCTAAGGTCAAGAGCTCAAGTCATCAAAAAGCTAAGAATGAGCAGTAGTACATTACAGGGAATCATGTTTCTGCTTATGACTATTGTTGAGTTAAACACCTTACCCAAAGTTTGCAATAACACAACTTCCTTTTATATATATATATTCCTGCTATCACAAATTTTTCTAGGATCTTTCTCTTTTTGTATTATTTCATTTTGATTCAGTTAGTGCTGAATGGAACTCCTACATTCAGTTGTGAACTCATCTATTATTCAACAGTATTGTCTGAATGCCATATATATATGTGTGTATACCATATATAGGTAATAAATATATATACCAGACTCAAATGAGTTAGACCATAATGCATTTCTGAAAAATCTTCCATTGCTGAGTGACATGCAAAAGAAACACAACATAACTCACAAGACCATCCGTGCTAATTTCCATCCTTGCTTTTTTATATCCATATATATTTTGACAGTTAGAATCACACTCTACATTCAATCTCACATTTGTTTTCTTTGTCAAACCTCCTGGTATTTCCTATGGCATTTTATGAAATATTTTAAAAAATACTTTGAAGTTATGACTTTTTTCCCAAGGAAAGGGCTTTGCAGAAAGCAATAATTGTAAATGTTACTGAATTGCTTTTCTATAGAAATTATAGCAGACAGTTTTAAAATTTTGCTAGCTTCACAGGTCAAAGACAGTGATATTTTAAAAATACTAACGAGAGTCTTAATTGTTGCATATGTTTAATAGCGTTTGTTCTTCTAACATAAGTCATTTTCTCCTCCATTTGCCATTTAATATCTAAGTCTTTCTCTTCCATATGTGTTATATCTCTGCCGTGCTCCCTATTGGAGCTCAAAGGCTTTAGTTTAAACACCTAGCATTGCCTGCCTGGTCTCCTGGATTACTTTCTTATGGCCACCATTAGGTGGCTTAAAGCAAAAGGACAGGAGCACAAAATCAAGGCATTGGAAGGAGCACACTCGCTACAATGTCTCTGGGAGGATGCTCAGTCTATCTGGCTTTGACCTGTGGCAGCCTCTCTTCCTCCTGCTTCCCTTATTCACAAAGCTATCTTCCCTACGTGAGTGCCTAATTCCTGCCTGTCTTGTCAGATACTATTTGAGCTTGACGTCAGCTGTCAGTTTTGCAGATATTCCTTTTCAAGTAGATGTTCTCTCTAGTTTACTGAGAGTATTCTAATCATGGATGAATGCTAAATTTTGTCAAATGTTTTTTCTGCAACTAATGACAGGATCATATGATTTTTTAAATTCTCTTCAGTCTGTTGATAGAGTGAATTTGATTAAAGTGATGAACCAGTCTTGTATACCTGTATATTTAATTAACTCTCCACTAAAGACTATATTTTAAGTTAGAATATATTCTCCAGGTATTCAAATTGCTCAAATGGAAATATTCCTCATTGGTTTTCGTATTAAAACATATCATTATTTTAGCACAGATACT